TTACTCTGTCCTCTAGAGTTGCTATGAGTTGGAATGGACTTGATGTCTTGAGGGGGACTAATAATCCTCATCCCATAGAGATGTTTATAGATTGTATGGAGTATCCGTGTAATGGAGCACTATGCTGGGAGGAGTCCATGAGATGACACACTGAACATGGTGCGGAAGCAGGACTCACTTTATCTTGTTATGGAGGCTGGGCACTCAAACTGCAGCCCCCATTGTCCTCTGGGCACCTCCTGCTCAGTCCTCAGGGCAGAAGCACTTGGAAGGGCACCCCACCAGCCCCACTGCTTCTCTCCATCCCTGTGGGAAGCTGGAGAAAATTTCTCCCGTTACCATATAAGGCTGGGCCTGGATGGCCTGGGGTCACCCTCCATGCCATCAGGGCGATGGGAATGTCAGCTATGTGGGGGGAGTGGGAGGCTGCGGCAGCCCTAACTGCTCCAGCCCTCACCGCTCTAGCAGTGCTGAGAATGTGCGAATGTGTGCACGCGCGCACACACACACGTCACGCAGGCATGGAGGTGGGAATGGGCACTGGCAGAGGAGACCCAGCTAGGCTTAGAGACTGAGAACAGAGTGGGTTAGAGTTTTGGCTGTTCAAACCCAGACAACTTAAGCAAACCTTCTGAGCCCCGTTTCTGTAAAAAGAGATTAACAGTGTCTACTTCACAGGGTTAGACTGAGGATTCAATGGGAGAATGACCACAGCACGCTTGGCACAGTGCCTGGCACCCACCAGATGCTCAGAAAATGATAGCAAGAACAAAAGTGAAACAAGAAAAGGATGTTTTCATACAGCTCCTCCTCTTCCTCTTCCTCCACCAGGACTTGTGCTGTTGTGCATCGCTTAGTTGATTCCAACTCACAGCAACCCTACAGGACAGGGTTTCCTAGGGTGTAATCTTTATAGGAACAGATCACCACATCTTTTCTCCCCTGGAGCCACTGATGGGTTCCAGCTGCAGACCTGCAAGTTAGCAGCCAAGCACTTAACCATGGTGCTACCAGGGCTCCTTCCAGGACCTGTAGTTCCTCCCAAGTCTCTTTCTATTTTTATTTTTGAATACGTTATAATAACAATAACTGAGACTGAGCTGATCTATGGAAGCTGGCTGGCCCCAAGGGAGAAGAAAGGCCCCTAAAGAACTGGGGTGCTGGCCCAGGGAAGCCCCCAGAGCCGCCAGCTAAGCGGGGCTCTGCCCCAGGCAGCAGGCAGTGCCCCAGCTGCCAGGCACAGTAGCAATCACAGGCCCCCACGAGGTAGGGAAACCATCAAGGCCCATCTGGAGAACAATAGTCCTGCCTCCACAGCCACTCAGCTCAGCCCCAGCCCTCTACTAGCCCCACTCCAGTAGGGCAGTGAAGCTGCACCCCAAAGGTAGGCAGTCTGAGTTGCCAACGTGGTCCCCTCTGTAAATCTGCCCACACAGGAACCCTCTACTGTGGCCATGACCACAGGTGAACTAGACTCAGGGCTTCAAACAGAATGATGGCCCCAGACTCTGTAAAGTGCTTCCGTCTGTTTTTCTCGGCTGATTTACTGTAGCAACTTGGAGAGGAGGCCAGGCAGGGATTTCTGCTCCCATTTCAGGCAGGGAAGACCAAGGCTCTGCTAGATGAAGAGGCATAGCCCAGTCTGAACAGTCAGTATGGGCCAGGGCCTAACCTCCAAACAAACAAATGTAACAATCATGATAGCTGCCAGCTCTCCAAAGTGCTTTACAATAGATTATCTCCCTAAAAAATCACAACTCAACCACTGATCTCTTTTGGGAGACAGAGGCTCAGAAAAGTTACGTGGCTTGCCCAGGGTTACAGTCAGTGAGCTCACAGTCTCCCAACTAATAACTCTGAACTCTGGCAGGGCCACCTTGATAGACAGGTACAGGGAGGATCCTGGAGCCTCTTTCTTCCAGGGGCCCAGATCTTGGGTCTCACCAGCCCTTGGCAGCTTGGACTCACAAGGCAGGTCTCAACACAGCATCGTGGATAGAGGAAAGGATCAGACTGCAGACTGTGCCACTGGGTCCTTGGGCCAGCTCCTTGTCTTCTCTGGGCCTGAGACTATCATTCCCCTGCGTGCTCTGACCACGTGCCTTCATCGTCCCCAGTCCAAAGCTGTATTGTTATCAGCCACGATACCCACAGGTCCTTTCCCTTTCTTGACCCAAGCCAGTCCACTTCCCAGAGCAATCCTGTAGCCTCACCCGACAGCCACCCCTTCTGTGCTTCCTCAAGGGCGGTTTTGGCATGGAAAGTCCCACACATTCTCAGCAATTCTGGCCAGGCTGACTATGGTCACCTCACCCCCTTGTCCAGCTGTCTTTGGCCCAGGGTCCTAATGGCTGTGGGTAGATTCAGCCAGCTCAGAAATGCCTGGCCAAGAAGCCCCAGGGATTGTATGAGGTCAGGGTCTCAGGCTCCTGTCCAGAGGGCAAGAGCAGCCAAGCCTGAGGTCGGCTGACTGAAGAAAGAACTGAGAGGAAGCCACCAGGCCTAGACCCCCAAGAGCCCCAAGCAGATGTCCAGGCAACTTTTCAGCTGACCTCAAGATGGCACCAAGAAGCTGGGCGAGGCTGGGGACAAGAAGGTCTCCAGAGCCCTCCATGGGATTCCTACAGTCAGCAGAAAGAAAACAAAGTGGCTGCCTTGTTCTACACAGTCCAAGAAAATCAAAGAGGAAATCCTCCAGATTCCCCCTCTAACTTGCCTCACTGGGACTCAGACTTTGGCTGCCTAGTGGTACAAGGGAGCCAGCAGGAGTAATGCCCATCCTTGTTTCAAGGGTACACCTCTGCCACCAGTCAGGAAAGAACCTGGGAGATGTCCTCCTCAGGAAATAACAACTCTAGTGCCACCCGCCAACAAGGAGCTCCAGTGGTGTGGTGGTTAAACATTCAGCTGCTAATCAAAAAGTTGCTGGTTCAAACCCACCAGCTGTTCCAAGGGAAAAAGATGAAAGAGTCTGCTTCCATAAAGATTTATAGCCTTGGAAACCCTATGGAGCAGTTCTACACTATCATATAGAGTCATAATGAGTCAGAATCAATTTGATGACAGTGGGTGGGTAGTACCATCCAAAGAGGTCTTCCCACATGCTGGGCACTGTACCAAGTACTGTACCTTGTACTAGGCTACATGCTTTCTCTCATTTAGCCCTCACGGTGACCCTGGGACCCTGGAAGAAAGGCATTGTAATATCCCTACTCCTCGCAGAGGAAACTAGGCTCTGTAACAAGGTCCCTTGTAAAGACCACAGAACTAGTAAATGATGACCCCAAGTTGGTTGGACCCTGAAGCCACTGGCTAGTTTGTCTTTGAAGTCTGGCCAATCCAGACAGGCCTGGACCTTTCCTTATCTTCTAGCATCTACCTAGTCACTGAGCAAGCATTTAAGAAATACCTACTTTGTGCCTGAAGCAGCTCTGGTGGCACAGTGCCTAAGGCATTTGACTGCTAACGAGAAGGGTGGTGGTTCAAACCCACCAGCGGCTCTGTGGGAGGAAGATGGGGTAATCTACTTCCATAAAGATTTACCCCCTCAGAACCCAGTGGGTGTCACTATGAATTGGAATCGACTTGATGGCAGTGAGGTGTTTTTTTTTTGGTACTCTGTGCCTAGGTCCCTGGGTGGCATAAATAGTTTGTGCACAGCTACTAACCTAAAAGTGGGCAGTTCAAACTCACATAGCAGTGCTGCAGAAAAAAGGCCTAGCGATCTGCTTTGATAAAGATTCCTACTCATTGCCATTGAGTCAATTCCAACTCATAGTGACCCTATACAACACAGTAGTGCTGCCTCTTAGGGTTTCCAAGGCTGTAAATCTTTATAGAAGCACATCGCCTCAACTTTCTCCTGCAGAGCAGCTGGTGAGTTCAAACCTTTCAGTTAGCAGCTGACCTTTCAGTTAGCAACCCCAGAAAACCAAACCCACTGCCATGAGTCAATTCCAACTCATAGCTACCCCATTGGGGTTCCAAGGCTGTAAATCTTTACAGAACTAGATTGCCTCATCTTCCTCTGGTGGAACAGATAGTGGGTTTGAACTACCAACCTTCTGGTTAGCAGCCAAATAACTTACCCAAATACCTTAAGCACCCAGGGAATGCTTCACCCCTGTGCCAAGAAAACCCTATAGAGCAGTTCTAGTCTGTAACACATGGGGTCATCACGAGTCAGAATTCACTGGCTGGCAAAAGGTTTACTGTGTGCCTGGCAACGGCTGGAAGGATTTCTTCATACAAACCCTCCAATACCAGTAATCTCTTCTAAGAACTAACATGAAAGGCATAAACTTCACTTCATATGGGAACCATTCCTTCAAACTGGAGTGAAAAGAAAAAAAAAAAAAGAGTTACGGGTAGCACAGGAAGCCAGGCAGAACACCAACATTTGCCAGCGACCCAAGAGCCTAAGTTCTCTGGTAGAGTGAGCACTGGTCTGGGAGTCCGCCCCTACGTTTTAACAGCAGTCTCACAAGGACTTGCTGTGCACTTTCAGGTCGGCCATCTCACCTCTCTGGACCTCCTTTCCTTTTCTTGGCTAGTAAAACTGGGATCCGCTCAGAGACCTCGGGGGTCCCTTCCAGCGTCAAATCCTTGTGGCTGGCCCAACCCAGCTTCCGGGAAGTCCAGGCCCAGGCTGGCACAGGAGTTCCTCCGCCGGTCCGCCCCACCTCCCTAGGCTGATAGTAGCAACTTGCAACCCGAGACGCCGGGACCAGAGCTGGGGGGTGGGGTGGGGGTGGGGCAGGGTACCTACCTGGTGTCGCAGGCGACGGGGGGCGGGGGGAGAGCTGAGGGAGGGAATTGAGGGAAGACAAGGGAAGGAGAGGGAGGGGAGTTGACTTTGCTCTAAGCACAGCCTTGCAGATGGAGGTGGGACGCGCCGAGGTAGAGCGCGCGGAGCGCGCGGGCTGCGTGAGGTCTCTGGCCGTTAGTAAGTTGACCACGGCCCCAGGTTTAGGGAAACGAAGGCGGGTGCGCGCGCTTACCCTGTTGATCTCGGCCAGCCTCCTCTCTTGCCGGGCTTTCAGCATGCCGAACGCCTTCCCTCCTGAAGGAGACAAAGAGGCGGGCTGGGAAGCGGGGGACCTCCCAGGGCCGCACGCCGCCGGCCCGCGCCTGCTTCCCGCGCGCCGCGCACCCCGCCATCTGCCCCTCGCGCACAGGTGGCGGGCTGGGGACCCCGGCGTGGGAGCGAGGGACAGCGGGGTTGGGGCGCGGAACGAGAATAAGCAAGGGACAGCGGCGCGGTGCCTACCTTGGAACCTGTTGCTGAGCGCGACCGACATGGTGAGCGTGGGGCTCCCGCCGGCTCGGTACTTCTCGGAGGCGGTTCGGGACAAGGAGGAGGGACGGGCGCCTTGTCCGAGCTCTGGCTACGAGTGGCGTCGGGACCGAGGGGCGGAGGGATGGCGCGGGGTGGCCGGACACACCCTCCCCCCCCCGCCCCGTCCCGGCCCGCCTCCCCTCCCGCCCCGCTGCCGCCCGGGCCACCGGCATCAAAGCAGCTATTATGAGGGATGCGGAGCCTGCCCGCCGGTCCCTAGCTCTTGGAGGGGCGCGAAAATGCATGACGTTTCAGCCCCTCGGTTCCTAAGCCTGAACCCCAGGTATTTACAGCAGCCACTTCCTTGCCCCGACTCGCGAGCGCCCCATAAAATAATCTTAGTACCCACTTCAAAACGAGCCCTAGTGGCGCAGTGGTTAAGTGCTTGGCTGCTAACTGAAAGTTTGTAGTTGGAACCCACCCAGTGGCTCCGCGGAAGAAGGACCTGGTGATCCTCCCTTGTAAGCATATCAGGCTAGAAAAACCCTTTGGGACAGCTCTACTCACAAGAGGTCGCTATGAGAAACTGACTTGGTGGCACACAACAACAGAATCCACTTTATGGGGTCGTTGTGAGGATCAAATGCAGGCTCAGGCGGGTAGTAAGAGCTCAACAAACAGGCTGCTACAATTATCATTGCCCTTTGCATGGTGTACACTTTTAGAAGGGAGACATGAGGAGTCCAACCTTTATTGCTAACTTTTGAAAGAAAAATATATAAACGTTAATTTTCCTTAATTGAGAAAATACATAATGACAATATATGCAACTATGACATCAAGGACACTTTAAATCCATGGCAGTAGATTCATGTTCTGTTAATAAAAACTATTTATTGAGCACTCACTATGTGCCAAGCAATTACATCATTTAGTTCTCAAAGCTCTGACCTAGGACTCGTAATCCCAATTTACAGAAAAGTCAGAAGCTGAAGCCTGGGGCACAAATCCACCAAGGTAATAAACCAGGCCTCAACTTCAGGAAGAGTGGGGCTCAGAGTGCGGGGAACTAGGGCAATCATGTAGTCTATCACCCAAATCAGGACATTTCTGAGGAAGAAAGGGGCCACAAACATAGGCTGAGCTGCCTTGGCAAACAGGACACCTGGTCACTTCCAGTGGTCCTGCCACACACTCTGAGCCTCCTGAGGACTGGATCCAGAAAGTCTCCTCCATAGACTCCATTTGACTGCTAGGAACCAGCTAGTAATCTTTTGTTTTGTGGTTGCCCCCCACACTCCCAGGGAAGTGGCCAGGCTGCCCCAAGGAAAGGGTGGGGCAGAGGAGAGGGCAGAATGGGATGGGTAGGGTGAGCTTACACCAGGGCAGCCGTTTAGGGGGACAGTCCTCTCCTCCCCAACACAGTGTCTGCTTTGAGCCAGGTTACTCTGCTATGCTCATTCACTACTAGGATTTGGATCTGGCCAAGCTGTATGACCTTGGGCAAGGCACTTGACCTGTTTGGGTCTCAGTCCCCTCATCTGCAAAATGAAAGACACCAGAGCTCCTGCCCTCTAGAGTTAACTAGGAGCTCAGTGTGATCCTGATCCTACACAGGGAGACTTTGGTTAGTGCCTGGCCTCCCAGGCCCATTAGTCACACAGAGGTTGTTACAATTTGTACACGTTCAGAGTGGCTTAAACAGATAATAAAAGTTTAGAGGGGCACCAGCAGGGGCTTAAGGTCCCAGCCCTCAGTCCCATCTGGAGGTCAAAAAAGAGGCCTGACTTAGAAAACAGTTCCCAGTCCAGGCTGGGTTGGCCTGTTGCCCTTGTCAGTAGGGCTGGTTAGCCCCAGTCAGCCATACCACAGGGAAGGGACCGCCCCACCCTCCACTGCTCAGCTGCAGAGTTGCACTGCGCACCAGATGTTCAACAGCTGCTACACTGCCCCAGCAGCAACCCTGCTTCGGGGGCTGGAGAGTGGCTGCATGGGTTAAGCATGAAGACGAGACATAAGGCATGAGTTATGAATGTCAAGTATGAGATGTCAAGCCTGAGATAATGTCACTGTGGAATGGAGAAGAAACCTGTTCTCCACCCGCCAGGGATTATTCTGGGACTGGGCTTTGCTGAGCAGATAAAGGTTGGATACCAAGAGCAGGTGTCAGAATGCTGTGTGTCCCTGTTAGACAGGAAGCGAGGTGACGCCCAACAGACCCTGCCCCAGAGGTCTTTGAAGGATCCTTGTCTCAGCACCATCAAGACCAAACGCTCACTGTAGAGCAACTGCTTCCCTGACCTCATCTTCCCCCCTGCCCCCCAATCTGCCAAGTCACTCCCAGGTCAATGATGTCCACCATGTCAAATCCCTACCCCCACCTACTTGGTTTTCCAGGTTCTCTGAACCCTTTCCTCCACCACATTGGGAAGCACACAGCCATCTCTCATAGCGTAGTGCCTAAGGCAATTGACTGCTAATCAGAAGGCTGGTGGTTCAAACCCACCAGCCACTACTCAGAAAGAAGACGGGGCAATCTACTTCCGTAGTGATACTGCCTCGGAAACCCAAGGAGGGGTCGCTATGAGTCGAGTCGACTCCACTGGCACATAACAACAACACAACAGACTTAGAAACAAACAAGCAAAAAGCCACACCCACTGCCTAGTTGATTCCAACTCACAGTGACCCTATAGGACAAAGCAGAACTGCATCATTTGGTTTCCGATGTTGTAATCATTACAGAAACAGACTGCCACATTTTTCTCCCACTAAGTGGCTGGTGGGAGCTCTGGTGGCGTAGTGCCTAAGACATTTGACTTCTAACCAGAACCAGAAGGCTGACGGATCAAATCCATCAGCCACTTCTCAGAAGGAAGATTGGGCAATCTACTTCCGTAGAGATAACCACCTCAGAAATCCAAAGAGGGGTCGCTATGAGTCAAATTGACTCAATGGCAGTGAGTTTGTTTGTTTGGTTTTTTTTTTTTTTGGAAGTGGCTAGTGGGTTTGAACCACTGATCCTTCAGTTAGCAGTTAAGCACTTAACCACTGTAAGACCAGGGCTTCCTCCTAGTTCCAGAGACCCACATTGTTCTGAATGGAAGAACTACACCTGGACAGAGGGTCAAGTGGATCCCCTCTCCTGGGAAGCTGGAATTGAGATGGTGTTTGCAGCTTGTCTCTGTCAAGCTTTTGGACTGAGGGTCATGGAGAAGCCAGAGTGGAGGGCAGTAAGGGGTCCTCTTCCATCAAATGCAGGCTATGCAAAGAAAGCTACTGTGCAGAGAGAAAAGAAGGAAGCAGAGGCAGAGACCAAGGCGAGGAGTAAGGGAGGAGAGAAGGAGGCCACCCGTCTCTGAGGAGGCCTGGCAGCTTTTCTGCCCCAGGCTTCCAGGAGACCCTCCCATATCCTCCCAATGACCTCTTTTTCTGCTTACACCAGCTCGGGAGGGGTTTGGTCCCGGTGGCTCCGTACTCCCACCCTGGGGTCTCAGTGTGACCCTATACTGCAACAAGCCAGGCTCCCACCCTGCACACCCCAGGCTACTACACACCCTCTTGCCTGGAAGGTTCCTTTCCTCTGTCTCCCCACCCTCAAGCTCTGGCCCAAAGCCCTCCTCTTAGAAGCTTCATGAGGCCCTCCATCCTTCCTCACTGGTCTCCCCTATCACTCACTGTGTCACTTGGTTGAGTTCATTCCCTGCCTCAGTGTCTCCAGCCTGAGCTGGAGGTCGGCTGAGACGCTGTTTGTTTCCCCATCCTCAACCCCCACCCCAAATTCTCCTAGCCCCTAAGACTTTGACTGATGAGCCCCCGGGGAGAGCAGAGAGGAAAGGACTGTGCCAGTGGTCACAGGACCCCTGCAAAGCCTCCCCCAGTGAAAAAACACGCTGGCAAAGCATGTGAACTGAGAGGGGCACTGGGAAATCCTCTAGTCACTCCCTAGGTGCTGGGTGCACACTCACACTCGGGTGTGCTCGTGTGTGCATCCCACCCTAAGCTCTGTGTGGGTGGGGAATAAGTCTGCATCCAGGGCGGTGCCACACTCAGGGTGCCAACCAGGAGGATCAAAGACAGCACCCAGATCGACAAAAAGGGCCTTTATTTCCACATTAAACAGAAGAGCTCCGCACTGCCACCTGTCCCCTCTAGTCCAAGATGTGCTTTGGGGAATGCGGCCCACTTGTGACTGGAATAAGAGGAGCCTTGGAAGTGGGCTGGGTCCACTGAGAAGCCCATCCTCCTAGTACCAACACCCAGCAGCCCAATGTCTGTTGGAAGACTGCCCAGGAAAGGGGAAGAGGAAATGCCAGGACTCCTGGGCAGAGTCGGGCACAGGGCTGGCCACCAGAGGATTCCCAGGGCAGGACAGACTGGAACATCTGCCAAGTCTCCCCGCCCCTGCAGCCTCCCTTGTGGCAGGCTGGTTCAGGAAGTGTCATTTAGTCAAAGGTCAACGGGGGTCAACGGGGTCAAAGGGTTGGTCCTGGTTACCTATCTGAGCCCTTTGGGCCCCTGTAGTCCCAACTCTTTGGACAGGCCACAGACTGAGAGGCCCAGGTCAGGGTAATTCCTTCAGTGAGGCTTGTCCAGTCCCAGGGTCCTGAGAATGAGGCATCAGATAACGCCAATGATACTCCTTCCAGGGGAGGGCCTTGTCCCTGGCTGGGCTAAAAGGCTGCACCACAGCCTCAGGAATGCCTGGGCTTGTGTTCCACTGCTGAGAAACCTCCTAGGAGCTGCTTGCGTTTCTTGGCCTGTCTTGGCCTCGGCTGTGCAGAGCTGCTGGGTATGGGTGGTGGGCGATGGGTGTGTGTTGGGGAGATTGCAGCAGGACAAAAAGGTTGCTCTGCGACTGGGGGCTCTGGCTTTTGCTGAATCCTCCCTGGATCTCTGTGGATGTTCTCCCTCAACTTCCCAGTCACCAACCCTGTGTGAGTCCCTTCTTTCTGGAATAAGAATGGGTACATCAGAGCTACAGAGTGTTCAACATAACAACCACATAACTCACCCAGCCTCCAGAGGGTGTGTAGGACATAGCTGGCTCCCAAGAAATACTTGTGGAGTGACTGTAATTTGTGTGTATGCATGGATGGGCTTTTACACCTGTGTATCATACACATAGGTATGCACTCACAAGAGGGACATGTGCAGGTTTGTACCTGTCATTGACACTGGGTGGGAGTACACAACGATGGGGGCCTGCATACAGTGGCTCCCTGGTGAACTATATGTGCACACTCACTCTGTATGGCCACACTTGGCTGGCCGGGTGGTCCTTTGGGCATAGACTCCAATGGCATGTGAGTATCCACACAGGGAAGGGTAGGCAGCAGCAGGCTCTGGTGGGTGCCTGTGTGGGTGCGCTTATGGGTGTGTGTGCATGCCCTGCACCAGGTGCACAGTGGGCCAGGTAGGGGAGTATGTACCAAGGGCTAGGTGGCCCTCACTGCCAATTGGCGCAGCTCTCAGGCAGGCTGTGCAGAATGGCCTCCAAGTTCTGCTTGTCAGCACGGATCTCAGCAAGGTCACTCTCGAAGTCCTGGATCTGCAGCTCCTGCTGCTCCGACTCCTGCTCCAACAGCCTCAGTTTCCCCTGTAGGGCCCCTGGTGAGCCCAGCTGAAGCCTCAAGCGCTCTAGTGCTTGCTGGGTCTCGTTCAGGGCCTGGGCAGGGGCTTGATGGGTATCCAGCGACCCTGCAGAGGGGTAAGTCTCAGCATGAGCCAGCCCCCCATGGGTCCTAGGAGCCCAGTCAGTCCTGAGACTCTCCCCAGCTTGACCCTTGCCTGGAGGCCTGCTGGAGAAAGCAGGGATCAAGAAGGCAGTGTAGTGAAGAGGGTGAAGGCCACTGTTAATTTTTGTTTTATCTTTACTATTATTGTTAAAAATGGCAGCCTTGGGTAAGTCCTCAGTGAGCCCTAGTTTCCTTATCCATAAAGTGGTGGGTGAGGCCCTCATGATTTCTACCGGCTCAAACAGGCTGTGTCAACTCACCAAGGCTACATTTATAGGCATGGCCTGTGTGCTGGGATGTGGGAGGACACGGGGCTGGACAGAAGGGTCTCTGCCCAGGGAAATCAGCTTCAGAATGAGAGCCAGATGGCAGACGGGGTAGAAAGGACTGCAGGCAGTAGGGTTCTGGTACTGGCCCTGAAGGTATCAGTGCCATCTCTTGGGGTTAAGAACTTACCTGAGCCTCCCCAAGGGTAAAACAAGGGGGTGGGCAGGTGTTCCACAGGGGCCTCTGGAGTTCATACTGGAACTTGGTAGTGGGCAATGGTGGGTGGAAGGAGAGGTGATGATGAGTGGGAGCAGAAATGATGGCATGTGGGAGTGGAGGCCATGCTGGGTAGGAACAGAGGCAATGGTGCGTAGGAGTGGAGGTGATGGCAACAGGAAGGGAGGTGATGGTGGGTGGGAGCAGAGGCGATGGTGACTGGGACTGGACATGGTGGTGATGGGAGTGGAGATGATGGTAACTGGGAATTGTGGTGATGGTGGGAATAGACACATGGAATCCACCAGGCTGCCTTCCCCACTTGGCCCTTGTTATCTTTGTGAAGTGTGACATTCAGCAGATGGATATCTCAGCCAGATTGGGGGAGGGAGAGTCCCAAGCTTCTAACCTTATGGGATTTGGCTAGATCCCAGGGCTCCCCAAAGCCTTGAATTTCCTGGACAATGAAGGCTAGTTGGAGGGGCAGGCCAGAGCCACACCAGGCAGCAGGAATAGGCAGAGGGGAAACTGAAATTATCCCTTGAAGTCACCTTCAAAGTAACAGTTTTCCCAAAGAGTCAAGATTGTCACCCTTGAGTATAGTGGGTTTTTTTTAAAATACACATTTTGTTTCATGATGTTGATTACAGTCCCCACGATGTAACGATAGCTCTTTTCCCTGTGGTTATCTTTTCCCTGTGTCCTTCTTTCTGTGCCTTCTTGCCCTCTGAACTGTCCCCCTGCACAAATGCTGCCCTTCTGATCCCCCGTGGTTGATTATTCTAAGGAGTGTACCCACCTGGTGTAATCTGAACAGCTATTTTAAAGCATAGACGAGAAGGTTAGGAGGCAGGGTAATTAAGTATATGGGAGTGAAACAACTAGAACAGAAATAAGGAGGATGTGGACACAGTGTGAGGAATGTAACCAATGTCACTGATCATTATGTCTAGAAACTGGAATGGGGGCAGGTTTTGCTGTGTATATTTTCACCAAAAATAAAATAAAAAGAAACACAAAAAGCCATAAGAAGCACCATTCTGATCTGACACACGGGGGCATCATGAGTTGGAATCAACTAGAGGGCCACTGGTCTTTTTAATGCTGATTTGTGATGGACACACCTCAGGTGACAGCCCTTGCAGAATTCCCTCCCCTTGAGTGCAGGCAGAACCTGTGACTTGCTTCTAACCAATAGAATATGGTGAAGATGATGGGAGGGCACCCCCTGGATTAGGTTATATTAGGGAGTCCCTTGTGGCTTTGAGAAGTTGTCATATTGTGAGAGGGCCATATGGCAAGGAGTGTAGGTAGACTCTAGGTGCTAACTAAGTCCCCAGCTGATACCAAAAAAACCAAACCCACTGCCATTGAGCCAATTCCATCTCAGAGCAACATTACAGGAAAGAGTAGAAATGCCTAAAGGGTTTCCAAGGCTGTAAATCTTTACAGAAGCAGACTGCCAGATCTTTCTCCAGTGGAGGTGCGGGTCAGTTCAAACAGCTGACCTTTCAGGTGGCAGCTGAATGCTTTAACCACGGCACCACCAGTGCTTCTCCCCAGCTGATAGCCAGCAAAAAATAAAAAAGACAACTCAGCCCAATAACCACAAAGTGCTGAATTCCACCAACAACCGGAGGAAGCAGCTCTTTCCCCAGTCAAGCTTCTGATGAGACTGCAGCCCTAGCCAACACCTGGACTGCAGCCTTGTGAGTTGCTGAGTAAAGGGCCCAGCTAATCTATGCTTACACTTCTGACCTACAGAAACTGTGAGCTAAGAAGCATGTTGTTTTAAGATTTGATTAAAAAAAAGAAAAAAAAAAGAAAAGAAACAGTCAGAGGGGCACTGAAGACCTGCTGGACTTGAGCAAGTCCTACTCTCAGCAAAGACCTTGAGAGGCCCCACTGCTTACAAGAATGTTCAAACAGCCTGGCCTTTGAGGAGTTTCAGAATCCCTTCTCATTATAGTCACTGCTCTACTTGCCCAGGCCAGGGTTCCTAGGGGCAGGAGCCATGTGTGTGTGGTTCACTCCTGCATCTCCAGGTCAAGCACAGTCAGTCAGGCCCAGGGTTTGCTGAATGAATGATGAATGATAACCGCCATAATCACAGTAGAGTGTGTGCCGAGTACTTTGAGTTGGGGGCAGCCTAGTAGCCACAAACGTGGACTCTGACCCATGGAGGTGACTCACCAGCTGTGTCAGCCTAGGCATGCTATTTGAGCTCTCAGTGCTCTCTGTAAAATGAGCAAGAGAATAACTGTTCTCATCTGAACAGAAGATGAGAATTCTATAAGATCATGAGTGTGAATAGCTTAGTGTAGGGCTGGTGTCCAGAAAAATGCAGACCACAGTAATTCTTCCCCTTCTTATTAGTAATAAAAACTGAATATGTATGCTGTTCACTTCAGCCCAGCTGCTCTGATGGTTGCCCGCCACCCCCACCCAGGATCTCTGGAACCTCCATGTCTTGGTGTGTGCTCTCCCCTTCCAAAATGTCTTGCTGTCTACCAAGTCTCTCACCACATCCCAAGCACTGAGGTTAGCACATTCTAAATCACCTCATTGTTACTCCCATTTTACAGATGAGGAAACTGAAGCTCAGAGAGGTGGAGTGACTTGTCCAAGACCTCATAGGCAGGAAGGAACAGAGCCAGCCTTAATTCCCAGTCTGTCTGATTCCAAAGCCAGCCCTTGATCCTTGATGCCACATTTGCTTCTCTGATGTTCTCTTTTTCTCAGACCCTCACTAAGCACTGACCTACTCACTGGGTACACAATGCTGTTCTTGTATGTGGTGGTTTCCTGTGTGTCCCTCCCTGACCAGACAAATGCCTCTGGGGAAGTGGAAAGTTATTCAAAGTGAACACACTGCTGGACACCAACCCTATCTCATACAGAGGACCTGGGGGCAGGTACGAATGCTTGGGACGGGCCCCAGGATGGGGACGGGGGAAGCCAGGGAGTTGAGGACAAGGAAGAAATCTTCCCTAGGACTGAGTGCCTCACAGAAAGCTCCCAGAGGTACGCCAGGGGCCCGGAGTTCTGGAGCCAGCCTCAGGGTCTTCTTACCCAGCCTGACAAGTAGCTCCGACAAGGCCTTGATATCCATTTCCAGGGAGATGCGTGAGTCTCGGATCTGCTGCTCCATCTTGCTCAGCCCAGCGCCCATCTCCAGGGAGAGGGAAGAATGGATGAGCAGCCCCCTCCTGGCTGCAGGCCAGGCGGAAATGGGGTGAGGCTCTTGGCAAACATACCCGCTCAGCTTCCTCAAGCTCCTGTAGGTGTGCTTTCGAGGCCAGCGCCTGCTGGGAGGCCTGGTGGAGCGTCACCTGTGTCTGTCTGGCCAGCCGGCTGGCACGGCGTTGCTCCTGCTTCCCCTCCCTCAGCAAAGCCTTGGCAAGCTACAGGGTGTGGGCAGCAGTGGGAAGGAGAGAAGGTGAGTGGAGTAAGTCCTCTGGAGGTGTAAAGCTATTATGCAATAATCCCAAGTGGGCATCCACTTTGTGCATCAGATCATTCATTCATTCAATACATGTGACTGGATGCCCACTGGGTACTGGCACTGAGTAAATTGCTGAATACTACTCCTGTAAACCCAAAGGAGAAATTCCAACTGTTCCACAGATGAAGACGCAGAAACACAGAAAGAAGGAGGGGCTGGCCAAGGTCCAAGAAGCAGGATCAGAAATCAGACCTTAGGACTTTAAATCCAGTACTTCTTCTGGATAACTATGAAGGTTAGAGCCTGAGCAACAGAGATAGACAGCCCTAGGAGACACAAGTCAATTATAATTTGGCCCCAAATTAAAAAGAAAACCTAGAGGTTTAGGCAGTCAGAGCCAAACAGACCCAGGTGCAAGTCCTGGTTAAGTGATTTAAGTTACTGAATGTTCTGTGTCAGTGTCCTCACCTGTAACATGGGGACAGCAATGACATATTTCATGAGGAATCAACAGGGTCACCCACATAAAGCCCATGAACTCAGAGCCTGGGTCTCCCGAGCACTTATAAGTGTGGAGTATTCTGCATCAGGCACGAGGAAGGGGGCAGATCTGCTGGGGCAATTTTTGACCTACAAAGAGTAGTTATGTGACAGTCCTTCCACAGGCCCAGAGGTAGGGAAGCTGCTGCCGCCATGTCTGCGGCCCTGACCTTGGCACTGTCCTTGGCCAACAGCTCTGCTTCTCTGCCCTTCTGCTTGGTGCTGGAGGAGACAGATGCCATGTTTCCCAGCATCCTCTCCACCTGCTTGGTTTTCTTCTTTGTGTCTGCAAGGAGCCTGTCCCGGATGATGCCTGCCTTCCTCTTCAGCGTGGCCTGGTCCTTGGGCCGAGGAAACTGCAGCTTCATTCCTGTAAATCCAGTGAAGGCTGTGTCAGGAGAGTCAGGCTTACACCTCAGCCTGCACCAGGTGGTCACTGGCAGATAGATGCCTGACCAGCCCCAGACCCTGGGACAACTTGAGTGGAGACTCAAGATGCATGAGATCTGTGTGTAACCTTCTGAGGCTAATCCAAGAAACAAGTGAGATATAATGCTCCATGAATTTAAAGATTTGTATTTTATTATGATACTTATTAAAGTCACAAAAGTATATGGTGGTGAATGCGCCAGTGGCATTACCTGGTACAAATATAGCTGTCCTGGCCCAGTCTCCAAGAAACTCTGGTGGTGTAGTGCCTAAGGCATTTGACTGCTAACCAGAAGGTTGGTGGTTGAAACCCATCAGCCACTCCACGGAAGGAAGACTGGGCAATCTATTCCGTAAAGATTTACCGTCTCAAAAACCCAAACAGTGAGTCAGAATTGACTCGATGGCAGTGAGTTTGGTTTTAATTTTTTTTTTTTAATCTGACCCTGGCCAGAGTGGACAGTGGGCAACATCCAATTCTCTTCACATCTGGTGCTGAGAGACTCTGCACTGCAGTCTAATGACAGTGGGGTTGGATGGAATGACTACACGGGCAAGTCCTCAAGTGAGTAGTATGTGAGGCAGGGAGAGATGAGCAGGCATGGCAGAGATCCTGAGAGGTGGAGGGCATGGATTCCTGTTCCCTGCAACCAAGGCTGCTTTGGCTAAGGTGAGAGTCTGGGTGCCTGTCATGGGCACCTGTGGGCCACAGAGCCTGTGGCTCAGCAGGGCACTCATACCTTCCAGGTCAGCTAGCAGAGTCCTGGCTCCCGTGACAGTCACTGTGGCAGCCTGGACGGATGAGGAAGCCCGGGTCAGGGCAGCTATGGCCTCCTGGTGCAGCTGTACAGAGGAGAAGAGAGAGCCTCCAGGTCAGTGATCACCTGAGGGCGGGGCAGGTGGGCACCAACCCTACATCTTGAAGTCCCAAAACGTCCTCAAAACACTGACACTGTTTGCCAGGAGCACCTGATTTATTTTACTATGCTAATGTTAAACCCTTGAATATGTCTCCCAAGAAGTTACCTGTCCCAGAAAAGCCCAGAGGAAAACTCAAGTACCAGAGCTAAAGGAAAGTTGGAGACACTGTGAATCTTTTCTGCAAAATGTGCTTATGTCAGCCAAAAAGAAAAAAAAAAAAAAAAAACACTCTAACTCACTGCCATCAAGTTGTTTCTGACTCACAGTGACCCCCTTCTTGGACTTCCGAGGTGGTATCTCTACGGAAGTAGATTGCCCAGTCTTCCTTTCGAGGTGTGGCTGGTGGGTTTGAACCGCCAGCCTTCTGCTTAGCCAATGGGCATAAAACAGTGAATCTGCTTATTCTGCAACTTTTAGAGAATCAGCTTCTTCCCCACTCCCAGTAAACAAAACCGGCTGCCAATGAGTCAATTCTGACTCGTGGTGACCCCCTGTGTCAGAGCTGAACTATGCTCCATAGGGTGTGCAATGGCTACTACTCAATGCCAGGGCTTACTTCCCCCAGTGAACTAGATATTTAAAAAACATGGGCTTGAAGAGCCACCCAGTGATGAGCCATTGAAGGGAACCCTGAGCATCCGCAGGATGGGAAGAAGGACAGCAGGAAGGTGGGAGCACCATGGCGGGCTAGGAGAGCACTGGGCAGGCAGACAACTGCATACTTGAAGGGCTGCATATGAGGGCTATGGCTCTCAGAGCAGCTGCGGGGACAAGGGCTCCTCACCCAGAGCCCAAGTCATTAGACCAGGCTACTACTATCGGGACCCTGGCACAGCAGTTCCCAGTGTGTGCCGGGCCCTGGGCCTAGCTCTTCAAATACAGTCTCCCTTAATCCTCACAGGTAAGCTTCCCCCCATTTCCTAACTTTAAAGGGAAAATATAAATGATTGCCAGATTCATGGATAATAAGTAAATAAATAAATAAGAGCTATCAAGCTATAAAAGAAAGATATGGAGCAAACTTAAATGCACATTGCTAAGTGAAAGAAGCCTGTCTGAAGAAGCCACATACTTTATGGTTCCAACAATATGACTATTCTTGTTAGCTGCTGTCATTGGCCCCTGACTCATGGTGATCCCACGTACATAGGGATCCGACTGTGGTGACTCATAGGTTTGTGGGGTTTTTTTTTTTTTTTTTTTAATAATTAGTTTTTATTTTTGTTTTGTTGAGGATATACACAGCAGAGCCTATACCAGTTCAACAATTTCCACACATCCACTTCAGTGACATTGATCATTCTTCAAGCTGTGCAACTGTTCTCACCTCCTTTCCTAAGCTGTTCCTCCCTTATGAATATAAACTCACTGCCCCCTAAGTTTCCTATCTAATCTTTCGAGTTGCTGTTGTCAATTTGATCCCATATCAATAGATCTTAAAAGAGCTCAATGTTCAAGGCAGACATTGTTTTTTTTTAATGCATTTTACTGAAATATAATTTATGTACAGTAAAATACACAAAACTAAAGTGACATGGGTCAATGCACTTTTTTTTTTTTGCAGTGTTCCCTCCCTCCCCTCCTACCCCTGGCAACCAACAAAGAAAGTTTCCCTCCATATATAAATCTTTCCTTGACCCTCCACAACAAAGAGCTAATACTATATTTGTCCTTCTGCGATTGACTTATTTCACTCAGCATAATGTCCTCCAAGTTCATCCATATTATGCAGTGTTTTTCAGACTCTACATTATTCTTTAGTGCTGCATAGCATTCCAGTATGTGTATGTACCATAGTTTGGTCATCCACTCTTCCGCTGATGGGCACATAGGTTGTTTCCATCT